TCAGCCAGACAACTTGAGGTGTGGTCAGCCTGAATCAAGACCACAAAGAGCCTTATAGGCTTTGGAGCTGGTTGGTTCTCACACTGCACCAGGCAGGGAAACTAATTCAAAGCAGCATCCATTTAAGATATTTTATGCAAGCCTCATGGTTACCCTAAGGGATAAACCTGTAGCAATTACACAAAAGAACACAATAAAGTCAAAGCATACTAATACAAAAAGATATCAAAACACAAAAGACAGCAGGATATGAAACAGGAACAATGGATCTACAAAACAGCCAGAAAATCACAAAAGCCATAAATCCTTACCTATTAATAATTACTTTAAATGTAAATAGATTTAATTATCCAACCAAAATACAAAGAACGGCTGAATGGGTAACTAAACAAGATTCAAATGTCTACAAGAGACTCACTTAGGCTCTAATAACGCATATAGACTGAGAGTTGAAGGAAAGGAAACAGATACTTTTTAAGTAAATGATATCCAAAATAAGCAGGCATAGCTATACTTACATCAGACAAAATAAACTTTAAACTAAAAATGGTAAAGAGACAAAAAAGATCATTACATAATGATAAAGGGATCATTCCTTCAAGAAGATAGGACAATTGTAAACATTTATGCACCCAACTTCAGAGCACCCAAATATATAAAGAAAAAACTAACAGAGCTAAAGAGAAATACACATCAATACAATAATAGTTGGGAACTTGAATACGCCACTCTCAACAATAGCTAGATCAGACAGAAAATCAATAAGGAAACAGTGGATTTCAACAACACTATAGAGCAAACTGACCTAACAGACATATACAGAACATTCTAGCTGATAACAGCAGAATACATACCCTTATCAAGTACACATGGAACATTTTCTAGGATAAGCCATAAGTTAGACCACAAAACAAGTCTTAGCAAATTCAAGAAGACTGAAATCATGCCAAGTTTCTTCTCTGACCACAATGGTATGAAACTAGAAATCAATAACAGAAGAAAAACCAGAAAATTCACATATAAGTGGAAATTAAACAACACTCTCCTGATAACCAATGGATCAAAGAAGAAATGAAAGGGGAAACAAAATAGTATCTAGAAATAAATGAAAATGGAAACAATATATCAAAACTTATGGGATGCAGTAAAAGCAGTTCTAAGAGGCAAGTTCATAGCAATAAATACATTAAGAAACAAGATCTCAAATAAACAACCAACTCTATGCCTTAAGGAACTAGAAAATGAACAAACTGATCCCAAAGTTAGCAGGAGAAAAATAAAGAATAGAGAATTAATGAAATAGAGAATAGGAAAACAACTGGAAAGATTAATAAAACTAAGAGTTGGTTCTTTGAAAAGATAAAATCGACAAACCTTTAGCTAGATTTATCAAGGAAAAAAAAAGAGATGACCCAAATCAACAAAATTATCAATGAAAAGGGAGACATTACAACTGATACCACAAAAATACAAAGAATTATAAGAGGCTACTATACTACAGTTATACTCTAACAAACTGGATAATCTAGAAAAAAAATGGAAAAATTCTTAGAAACATACCACCTACCAAGACTGAAATCAGGAAGCAACAGAAAATCTGAACTGACCAATTACTAGTAAAGAGATTAAATCAGTAATCAAAAATCTCCTAACAAAGAAAAGTTCAGGACCAGATGGTTTCCCAGGTGAATTTTACTAAACATTTAACGAATTAATGCCAATCTTCCTCAAACTCTTCCAAAAAATCCAAGAGAAGGGAACACACTCAAACTCATTTTATAAGGCCAGCATTACCCCAATACCAAAGACAAACTAAATTCAGCAGCACATTAAAAAGATCATTTACTATGATCACGTGGGATTTATATCTGGGATGCAAGAATAGTTCAATGTATGCAAATCAATCAATATGCTAGATCACATTAATACAATGACAGAAAAACATCCTAAGATTATTTCAAAGGACACAGAAAATGCATTTAACAAATCTGTTCATGATAAAAACTCTTAATAAAATAGCTACAGAACATACCTCAACATAATAAAGGCCATATACAACAAGCCTAGAGCTAGCATCATAAACAATGATAGCTTTTTCTCTAAGATCAAAAATAAGACAAGGGTGACCATTCTCACCACTCTTATTCAACATAGAACAGAAATTCCTAGTTAAAGCAATCAGGTGAGAAAAAAGAAATAAAAGGCATCAGAACTGGAAAGGAAGAAGTAAAATTGTTTCTATTTTCAGATAACATGATTTTATATAGAGAAAATTCTAAAGAATCCACTTAAAACCTGTTCAATCTAATAAACAAATTCAGTATTGTTGCAGCATACAAAATTAACATACAAAATCAGTAGCATTCCTATACACTAACAACAAGTTATCTGAAAACTAAAGAAAGAAAATCCCATTTACAATAGTAAATGAAAAACAATATAAAATACTGGTTGGAGTCATGTAGGAGGCAACCAGTGGATGCATCTTCCTCATATCAATGTTTCTCCCTCTCTTCCCCCTCCCTCACTGCCACTCTATCTAAAAATTAATGGAAAAATATCCTCGGCTGAAGATTAACAACAAAAAATTTACAAGACATTGATAAAAGAAATTGAAGATGACACAAATAAATGGAAAGGTATCCCATGTTCATGGATTAAAAGAATAATATTAAAATGTCCATACTACCCAAAGCCATTTATAGATTCAATGCAATTACTATCAAAATGCCAGTGGCATTTTCTACAGAAAGAGAAAAACAATCCTAAAATTTATATGAAACCACAAAAGACCCCAAACAGACAGAGCAATCCTGAGAAAGAAGAATAAAGTAGGAGGCATCAATCACACTTCCTGATTTCAAGCTATATTATAAAGGCATAGTAATGTAAGAACAGAAACTATAGAACTCCTAGAATAAAACATAGCAAAAAAGTTTCCTCACATGGGTCTTGGCAATGACATTTTAACTCCTCACCCGAGGATATTTCTCCATTTATCTTCAGATAGAGTGGAAGAGAGGGAGAGGGAAAGGGGCGGGGGGGAGAGACATTGATGTGAGAGAGACATCTATTGGTTGCCTTCCACGCAACCCCAACCAGGGCCGGAGACCAAACTGCAACCAAGGTACGTGCCCTTGACCAGAATCAAACCCACAATGAGGTAAGGATTTACTAAGGATGCCAAGAAGCCAACAGCAAGAAATTCGGGATATTTGGCCTGTTTTTCTGCTCTGTAGCCCAACCTCATACACACCAAGCCAATGCTCCAACTGCTGAGCCAAACCAGCCAGGGCAGAAAATGACATTTTAGATATGATACCTAAAGCATAAGCAGCAAAATAAAAATTAGACAAGTGGAATTATATCAAACTAAAAAGTTTCTGCCAAGCAAAAAGTTAACAAAATGAAAAGACAACAATGTGGAATAAGAGAACATATTTGCAAACCATATATCTGATAAGGGGTTTATATCCAAAATATATAAATAACTCACACAACTTATTAGCAAAAGATTAACACTGCTGTATGGGCAAAGGCCCTAAATAGACATATCTCCAAAGATACACATACGGCCAACAGGTATATGAAAAGATGCTCAATATCACTAATCATTAGGGAAATGCAAATCAAAACTACAATGAGATATCCCCTCAAGCCTGTTAGAATGGTTAGCATAAAAAAGACAAAACAAATGCTGGCAAGTATGTGGAGAAAAGGTAACCTGTATACTGTTGGTGGAACTGTAAACTGGCACAAGCCACTATGGAAACCAGTAATGATTTTCCTCAAAAATTAAAAGCAGAATCACCTTGTGCCCCATCCAGGTGGCTCGGTAGGTTGGAGTGTCATGGGTTCAATTCCCGGTCAGGGCATATACCTAGGTTGTGGGTCTGATTCCCAGTTGTGTCACATGCGGGAGGCAGGCAACAGATGTTTCTTTCTCACATTGATGTTTCTCTCTCCCTTCCCCTCTCTAGAATCAATAAAAAAAGAAAAGAAAAAAGAAAAGTAGAACCACCCCATGATCCAGCAATTCCACTTCTGGGAATATTTCCAAAGAAAATAAAAACACTATGTCAAAGGGATAGCTGTATTCCCATGTTCACAGCAGCATTATTTAAAATAGTCAAGACATGGAAGCACCTAAGTGTCTATCAACAGATGAATGGATAAAGATGATGTTGTGTATATATATACACAATGGAATATTATCTGGCCATTAAAGAAAAAAAAGAAGGAAGACCGCTATTTGCAACAACATGGATAGAATCTGATGGCTGTATGCTAAGTGAAATAAGTCAGGCAGAGAAAGACAAATACTATATGATCTCACTTACATGTGGAATCTAAAAAAAAAAAATCCAAACTCATCAAAAAGAGATCAGATGTGGTTACCAGAGGTGGGAGATGAGGGGAGGGGAAACTGGATGAAGAAAGTTAAAAGGCTCAAATTTTCAGTTCTAAGATAAATAAATACAAGGGATATAATGTACAACAGGATGACTATAGTTAACACTGCTGTATGGTTTATATGAAAATTAAGAGAATAAATCCTACGATTTCTCATCGCAAACAAAACAATTTTTTGGAATCTATATGAGATGGTGGATGTTAACTAAATTTACTGTAATAACGATTTCATGATATATAAATTAAATCATTATGATGTACACCTTAAACTTTATACAGTGTTATATGTCAATTATATCTCAATAAAACTGGGGGGGAAAAACACACAAAAACAGGATTCTGTGTAGAGACCATGGAAAGGAGGCATACTAACAACAGATTTTTACAGAAAAACTAGTTTTATACCTTAAGATATTAAAGCTCCTCCTTACTAGCAAAAAAACCTCTGAAACAAAGCTAGAATAGCTGAGTTCTCCATGTTCTGGGAGCCTCAGTTTTATATCTGCTCAAGCCATATTTTAGGGCTTGGATATAAGAAAGAGGTAAACAGTGACTCTGGAAATGCAGGTGAGAAGTAAACAAAAGGGATAAAAAGAACTAAAGCTGCAAAAAGAACTCCTCATCATCTGCACAAAGTACTTACTACTTTAGGTTACCATGACACCCTTTTTGAGAACACCACACCTTCTTTTGATAATCCATTAAAATTTTTATTTGTGATATGAGAACTGTAACAATCAACCCAGGGAACCACCACATATCACAAGTACAGATAAAGAAAATGGGTAGTTTGCCACAGAAGGCTGGAATGACCACAAAGATTTCCTGTAAGGTATCACGACTCTTAAGAACCCATGTATTTGATAATGGTTCTTATGAGCTTGGCCAGTGATGAAGACATAAACAAACTCTTCACCAAAAGAACCTCAAGGTCAAGATGTAAAGCTGATATTCAGGTTGGCAAAACTCTATCCATCCCTGATGGCACGAGACAATGACTTGCAAAATCCAAAAGGCTAAATTCTGATTTATGCTTTAAAAAAAAAAACATTAAAAATCACATGTAGTGTACCTTTACTGCTTCACTTGCTAACAAAAGGCACACTTTGTGTTCCAACTATGAAATCTATATGCTCAGCAACGCAGCACAGATCACAGTCTCCAACGACGTCCCAAACACACACCCTGTGGAAGTTAAAGACCGGAGCTGCCAACTGCCATTGCCAAGAATGAAAAGAAAAAAACTGAATTCACTAACATCTTAGAGCTCCTTCTGCAATGATTTTATTATAAATATGTTATTTTGGAATAAACAAATATTGCATTCAAGCTATCTGAAAACTTGTTCCAAAGGAATAAAAGGAAAAATGGAACCAGGAACCACTCTGAAGTAGAGATAAATAGCAAAGACACCTGTGTGCCATGCTAAGTGTCTTTCTCCAAAGAAGTAACAGAAGTTAACAGGAAACATCACATTTCTCATTAGCCTATTCAATTAAAATAAGCTTTGAGTTTGGTAATTTGCATTTGTTCTGTAAACGGAACTAACTCCTCCTCTCCTCAGTCCTCAGAAGTAGAATGGGAAGACAGTCTTCAGATCCCAGTATTAACAAGAAAGATCTTGACTTTGTATTTGTAACTCTTTGCTCACCTACAAAACTGTTCACTATTTGCCAGGAGCAATGTCAGAGTAGTCCTTCAGCACTCCAGCCATGTGTTCATTATGAGTCTTAAACCGTCGCTTTTTCTGTGAAGCAGGCTTTTTCCTTCTCTGAATAGGGGCCTAGAGGAAAAGGCAAAAACAGAAACAGCTGCTCAGAAGGGTAATGAGGTAAGGGTTAACTAAGGATGCCGAGAAGCCAGCAGCAAGAAATTCGGGATATTTGGCCTGTTTTTCTGCTCTGTAGCCCACCCTCATACACACTAAGCCACAGCACACTCCCAACCACAAACAAGAGCCAGAGCTTTCTGTTATGGTGATGTGTATACCTCTTCCTGGAACAAAGAGGCTGGCACAAAAACTTCCCAGAACTATTCTAGGCATTAAATAGATAAAAAGGTAGTAAACTTTGTTTTTCATCACTATTACCTGGTTTAAAAATCATTACCAATAAAAAAGATCTGAGGTAAATAGGACAAACAGAGATAATGGCAAAATTGGGAAGTGGATGGACACACAAAGATTTGTTATTATTATTCTCTATTTGTTTCAGTATAACATAAATATTAATACCAAAGGATAAAATCAACAAGAATGAAAAAAGAAAAAAACTGAATTGATAAGAACAAGGGTAAGAAACCATGATAAGAAACAATGATAAGAAATCATAAAGTACTGCAATTACACTCATTCATGGAGATCACTGATAATAAATCTTCTTTAAGGAGTCCTAAAAAATTCACTGCGCACACATACACACATGAAAAATCACAAAGAAGGCAAGTTACACAGCCGGATGGTAAACAAGAAAAAGAGGGAGAGAGGTACAGCAGCTAGAGTCTAGAGTGCTGATGAACTATTTCTCATCCAGGCTTTGTCCTTGGACTAATATTGTTAGTTGATTAGCCAGTACTATTTCACAAGTCTGCATTTCATTACAGACCCTTCCTCTGCGCAGGATTTAGGGCTACAAAGACATTATTACCTATTCCAAAGGGATTTGAAAGTCAACAAGGACAATTCAATGCAACCAGGGAGAGCCAGGCACCAATACTATGGGGCTCACTGGAGCAGGGGGTGCAGGGGTGAAATGTACAACTAAAAGCCTTAAAGCCCAAGATCAGAACTGACAGGCCAACATGTGAACACTAGAAAAAGTTTGGTATGGCTGGAAGCTTAAGAGCAGACACTGCTAGGACAGGGGCAGTCGGATGGGGAAAACTCACATATGCCTGGGGAGCAGCCCTTGAGGGCAGACATCCATTGGCCCTCAATAAACCACATGTGATCAGATTTACAACTGACCAAGATCAATGGATTAGGACACAGGAAAAACTGAAAGGGAGGACTAACAACTTGCTCTTCAGAGAACAGAAAGCAGGCTAACAGTTCAAAGAACAGAAGATTACATTTTTTCCCCCAGTGATTACATACCACTTTCTTTGGTCCAGATTCCTGCATGGAAGAAATACCCTGTCGCTTCAGATATTCTTCAATTTTCTCCTCATCCATTGAATCCACAGCAACACTCCTCCACAGTTTCTGAAACTCTGCCAATGAGACAATAGTTACTTTACAATAGATGTTTACAAGCTATAGCATCTCAGTGATGGAAATCCAGTACTTCCTCTGGTGTACATCAACACATCTGAGATTTCACTGTAGAAACAAAGGTAGTGAGACAACATTCAAATGTTGGACACTGAGTAGCAGAAGGGCCTGAGAACATGAACTGCATCCTTACATACCAGATCAGTAATATTCTATTTTTAGAGTCTGGTAAACGAAGGGCCCTGTGTTTAAGGCCTCCCTGCTTTCCTGGGGATGAAAGGCAGTTGATGCTCTCCATTTATTCTGAAAAATCAGTTCTCTCCATTGAATTCAAATTCCTGCTCATCGACCCTGAGCTCAGTATACTCTATTTTCCTCTACTGGTAAAAAGAAACAAATAGAGACAATGGAAACCAGTTTTATACTGGAGTGAGGCTCTGTACAGTTTACAGCTGACCCTTGAACATGTGTTTGAACTGCACAAGTTCATTTATACATAGTGTTTTTTTTCAATAAATATATTGGAAAATTTTTGGAGATTTGTGACAATTTGAAAAAACTGGCAAACCTTATGATATTCTTAATAACATTTTCTTCTCTATCTTGCTTTATTGTAAGAACACAGTATATAAAAACATACAAAATGTGTTAACTGACTATTTATGTTATCTGTTAAGCTTCCAGTCAATAGAAGGGTGTTAGTAGCTGTGTTTTGGGGGAGTCTAAAGTTACACTCAGCTTTTTGACTATGTAGGGGGTTGGAGCTTCTAGTTCCTGTGTTGTTCTAGCTTCAAGTAAATTATACATGTAATGCAAAGATGTTATAATAGTATACTCCCTCCTAACTTTTGAACTATTGTCATAAATTTTACTATTACATATGCTCTAAACACAAAATACATTTCTAATATATATTTTTTTCCTTTATTGATTCTAGAGAGAGAGGAAGTGAGAGGGAGAGAGAGAAATATCGATTAGAGAGAACATCAACTGGCCACCTCCTGTGTGCCCCCCATTGGGGATCCGGCCTACAACTTGGGCATGTGTCCTGACCGGGAATCGAACCAGCAACCTTTTAGTGCATGGGTTGACGCTCAACCACTGAGCCACACTGGCCAGGCTCTAATATTTTTGTTTTAATCACTACCCTTCAGAGCAATTAAAATAAGAAAAAGTTTTTAATTAAAAATGTAACATTTTTAAATTAGAAAACCATGAATTTTATATTTACCTTCATTTATTCCACTCACAGCACTCTCATTTATTTATATAGATCCAAGTCACTGTCTAGTATCACATCCCTTCTGCCTGAAGAACATCCTCAGTACTTCTAGTAATGCCGGTCTGATGACAATGAATTCTCTTAGTTCTGTGATGTCGAGAGAGTAATACTTTGAAAGTAGTTCTCCATTTTGAAAGACTAGTTTTGCTGGCTACAGAATTCTGGGTTGAAAAGTTTTTCCCTTTCTGCACTTAAAAGATATCACTGCACTGTTTTTTGGTTTGGACAGGTTCAAATGAGAAGTCTGCTGTAACCCTTTTTCCTCTATAATGAGTTTTCAACTCTTACTACCTTCAATATTTTCATCTTCATTTTTCAGCAGTTTGAATATGATATGCCTAGATGCTTTTCTGTAATGTTTGTTTGGGGGGTATTATCTAGCCTCATGTGGTCTCTCAGCTTCTTGCATCTTCGTTTGTTGTCTATCATTAATTTTGGAAAATTCTTGGTCATTATTTCTTCTGTCCCATTCTCTTTCTCTTCTGAGATTTTAATTACACATTCAGACCACTTTATATTATCTCAAAGCTAATGGATGCTCTGTTGTATTTTTTCATGTTTTTCTCTTTGCATTTCAGTTTAGATCATTTGTATCGGCCTATCCTCAAGGATAGATTCTTTCCTTGGTCATGCCAAGTTTACTGATAAGCTTATTGAAGACATTCTTTGTCTCTGTTATTGTGCTTTCCACTTACAGAATTTTCATTTGATTTTGTTATGTTTATCTCTCTGCTGAAATATCCTACCTGATCATGCAACATGTTGTCTGCCTCTTCTACTAAAGGGTTTAATATATTAATTAGAGTTATTTTAAATTCCATGTCTGATAGTTCCAAATCTGTGTCCTAAGAATATGGTTCTGGGGGGGAGGGATGAGATAAACCAAAGAACTTACATGCATGTATGCGTAACCAATGGACATAGACAGCAATGTTTGGTGGGAAAGTGTGTGTGTGTGGGGGGGGGGTTCTGAGTGGGGAGGGGAAGACCATCTATAACAAAAATAAATAAATTAACAACAACAAAATAAGAATATGGTTCTGTTAATTGCTTTGCCTCAAAGTGCACTGTTTTCCTTGTTTCTTTTTATGCCTCAAAATTTTTTTGAAAGCAGGATATCCTCTGTAGGACAGCTGAGACTGAGGTAAACAGTTTTCGTGCCTGAAAAGGGGCACGCCTTTCCTTCTGCTAGGCTTTTAGTGTGTGGAGGTGGGGCCATTCTATTGTCAGGACATGAGTTTAGTTTGTAATTTGTTGCTGCCATTGTTACCCATAATGCACCACAGGCTGCAAATGTAGTTTTCTTGAATCTAGCAGAGAGTTGAGGTTGCAGGGCCACCATCTGACCTGAAATTTAAGTAAAGAAAGAGGTACATTTGCAGCTGTCTAGGGTTTGTTGTTATTGTTGTAAGAGCGGAAACAATGCTTTCTCCATTCTAAGTGAAAGCTAGAAGTCCCAACTACCTGACTTTTAGCCAAACTTTAAAAACAATGTGACTGGCTCTACTGGCTGTGGGTACACAGGAAAGAAAATAGCTTCAGGTTAAACTTCCAAATCAGCAGTAAAAAATATTGTTCTAGCCCTGGCTGGTGTGGCTCAGTTGGTTGAGTGTTGTCCCATATACTGAAGGATCGCCGGTTCCATTCCCGGTCAGGGTACAGGTACATACCTGGGTTGTGGGTTCAATCCTCAGTTGGGGGTGTGGGGTACTGGAGGCAACTGATCGATGTTTCTCTCTCACATCAATGTTTGTTTCTCTCCCTCCCTCCCTTTCTCTCTCTCTCTCTAAAAATCAATAAAAACATTTTTCTAATTCTAAGAAAGCACACAAAATTGTTTTAAAATGTATACCATAACCAGAATTGTATACATCAAATTTACCATAGCTATTAAAGGAAAAACATCATATACAAAAGAATAGTTGTGGAATTTTAACCATGACTTGTTAAATTCTATCAACGTGTAAAAATTGTATTCATTAATTTAGAAGAAGTGTTACATGATGTAATTGTACACCAATTAAACTGTATACCTCTCTGTATATCAAAAAAAGTAAAGAGAGCCAGTTTCACTCAGCGGTTAGAGCGCTGGCCATGTACCACAGAGTTGCCGGTTCAATTCCGGTCAAGGGCTCGTACCTCGGTTGCGGTTCGTCCCCGGTCCTGGTTGGGGTTGTGCAGGAGGCAACAGTCAATATGTCCCTCTCACGGCTCTCTCTCCCCCACCCTCCCACTCTCTCTGAAGATAAACAGAAAAATATCCTCAGGTGAGGATTAAAAAAAAAAAGGTAAAAAGGGTAAAAGTGCATATGATAAAAACACTTTTTACTCAATGGTAAATTTTATTCAATACAGTTTTTACCAAGCCTCTATGTTACCAGCACTGCAAAATTTCTGTTCCTTGAAAACAGAAACTACTTTGACTTTTCTACTTGATATGTACAGACCTTATATACTTCAGGCCTCTTATGACAAAATCACAAAGGCAATAATACCTATAAGAATAGTGACAGCAATGGTCTAGAAAGCTAATCAGTGTAACATACCACCAAAAATATATATATACAACACTATAAATTTTCATAGCACAACAGACTTACAAGTATATTAAAACAAAATTTAACTTCCTTTTGCTAAAGTAAATGTCACCAAGGTTATTTTCAAAGCAAAATCCCTGATAAGAACTCTTCAATGTCTGTTGTTTCTTTTTCAATAAAACATTTCTACTTTAATCCCTACCTTTCCTTAGTGCAATGCTATTGCCATGTTTAAATATTACATCTACTCTGTAAATGTATTACAGCTGCATAAATACTGAAGTTGAACACTGGAAGGCAGGCCTAATTTCAGAGGCAGGATCTCACAGGATCCCAAATCTAATTACTTTTTAATGTATTTAATATGGGGAAAGAAATGCTCAGTTGACAGAGGTACTAAGATAAATAACTTGTTTTTTTCCTTCAATTTTATAAAATCACTGCAAGAAAATACAACTTAAAATCAAAATAATCTTTATTTTGTACAAGGCAGGCAAAGTCAACTAAAAACATCCAGTACTGGCAAGGGTAAAGAAACAGATACCTTCTTGTATAATACTGTGATTCAAATTGGTTCAAAGAATTAGTTCAAACTTTATGATGGGTTATCAGGCAAGCTGTTGAAATTTTTTAAAATATGCCTTATGCCCAGCCAGTGTGGCTCAGTGGTTGAGTGTTGACCCATGGACCAAGAGGTCACAGGTTCGATTCCCAGTCAGGACACATGCCTGGGGTTACAGGCTCAATCCCCATTGGGGGTGTGCAGGAGGCAGCCAATTGATGTGTCTCTCTCATTGATGTTTCTATCTCTCCCTCTCTAAAAAATCAATAAAAACATATATATTAAAAAAGGTAAATTTAAAAATATATAATATATAAAAATATGCCTTATGTTTTGACTCAGCAATTCTACTTAAAAAAAAAATAACTACAATAAGGAGATTATCAGGCAAGTGCACACATATTTATGTGCAAGGATTGAGTATAATTTTAATAGCATATAAAAAATAAAACAAACACAATTTCTCTCTGTGAAACATCAGGAAAATGTTTTAAAGTACATCTATAAAAATGGAATAGCATATAGCCATTAAAAAATAATGACCTAGCCCTGGCCAGTTTGGCTCAGCGGTTAGAGCGTCGGCCTGCGGTCCGGAGAGACCCGGGTTCGGTTCCCGCT